TCTAGATTTGCTAGAGAAAGGTCTTCATGGCTGAAAAGCAAATGACAATGTCAATTGTCAAAAAATTATAATCTCATTTCTGTTAGAAGGAAAAAAAAGATGAGATGGCCACATGGATGTATTCATACACATATGTGCTGTGTGTGTATACATGTATATGTGCTTTAAACTTACTTTTGGGAAAAATCAAATTTTATCTTTGAATAGTAGGATTAAGAGTGGTACTTAGAGGAAATGGAAAATTATCCTAGACTCCTTATTCTACTGAGTATACTGAGATTCACGAAGCCTGTACCTGACGTATGCCAAAGTATCTAGCGAGGATTAATGGAATAATCAAAACCCTGCAGCCCGTCCCCAGTCTTTTGATCTCCTGTTTGTGTTCTTTCATTCTTCGGGAAAAGCTGATGGTGAACAGGAACCCTTTGGGGAAGAATTTGGTCTTAACTGTTTCCCATACCGGTTCTCCTCCTGTTTTCTTGGCAGTAGATTATTTCTGTCTTACTATTCTGTACTCAGATGCCTCTTCTCCTTACCTAATATGTGTAGTCTAATCACCAAGAAGAAGAATCTATTACTTCTTTTACTAGGTAACATATGGGGGATAGTGGTCCCCACGTTTGTATAAAGGGTTTCTCCAATAGGAGACTTGACTTGTTACTGTCCTACACCTATGTAGTGAAATACCTATGCATTTATAATTTTATAAAATACAACATGAATTTTGATATCCTTATCGTAGTCTCCCCATATGTTCTACCTTGAAAGTTCTGTGAGGGAAATGGTTATGTTTCGTTCTGTTTCACAACTGAGAAACTACCACAGCACTGTGTGGGACACTTGTGGGACAACCGACGATTTACTCTTTTTAGGGATAATTATAGTGATGAACCTGTTGTTCTGTCTCAAATAGAAGGTCTGTCTCTCTGGTCTCCCACAATTAGAGCTGTGTTCAAACTTGCAGAGCATTCAGCCTGGCCAGCATATCCATAAACTCTAGTATGTGCCTGGAATGAGGACCAGAAGCAAAGGCATCTTCTCAGGCTTGGGAGCTGTCCTTTGGAAACATAAGAGCCGCAGTCCCAGTTTCCAACAAATAAATAAAAAATCTGGGCTGGCACACTCTCATTGTTTTGATCAAAACTTGAGTTCCTTGCTGCCTTGTGTGTGTTTGTTTCCTCTGGGAACCAAGCAGCTGTCCTACAACTGAGCGTGTATTATCTCACGACAGTGACTCAGAAAGCACTGCAGATGTCATGGCTTACATCGTCCTTAAAAAATGCCTACCATGCAGGAAGTGAAATAAGGTTCTTGGACTCAGCAGAAATGGGGTGAGGATAAAGAGGCTGCTTTGAATTTGTGGGTTTTCCCAAGCTGCTTTGGAAATGTCTCATGCAAATCCAAACAGTATCTGGGTCACAGATAGCTTGCAACCAGCATTTCTGAACAGACTTTTAGTCCTCTAGAACATGCAGCAGTAGTAGGCCTATATGGAAACAATAAAATGGTTTAAATAACCTTGATAGTATGATAGCCTGCTGCCAGTGAGGATTTTTTCCTTTGCCCTAGCGGTATGCCGTTCTTGGAGTCATTTCCAAGGCCCAAAACTTTATTAAGATGAGCAATAATTAAAATCCAGCCATCTAGTGCTTCTACTAACAAGAGTTTAAATAGGCGTGGTGCACTGTTTCTGAATACATTCTCTGCGTGTGTGTGTGTGTGTGTGTGTGTGTGTGTGTGTGTGTGTGTGTGTGTGTGGTCCAGCTTCTTAATGGAGAAACAGCTTGCTAGAACCATGAGTCATACCACTGTGTTTGACAAAGCATTTAGTTTGTAACTTGTAGTACTTTAAAAGCCAGTAAGATGCCATTTGCAAACTTTCTCTTTAGTCTTAGTTACAATAAACCAAAAGTACCTAGAATTCTATGGGACATGGACTGTCAGGAAATGTTGAGTGTATCACTTTGGGGGAAAGCAAACACATTTACAAGAAGGCTTCAACATGCAAATGGACAAGGACTTAAGAATATGCAAAGCAGAAGACACTTAGAAATGAGGAAGGATTTAAGAATAGAGAAATCAAGATGTAAAGCAATTTTTTTTCAGAGTCACATCAATCTCCTAACCTGTATTCTTCTCTGATTATGGCACCATGAGGCTTCTACCCTGATAGAGAAGTGCTGGGGGAAAATCCCAAAGATGACCACAACCTAAAAATGCACAGCTTAGAGGGGAGTTTCCAATGGTCTTGGCCTTTAGCCCAGGCCCAGGCCATTTACCTGAAGTGGCCCCACAGTTTCTGCTTGGCTTGGTCTAGTATCAACAGGTTAAGCATCGAAAATAGGGGTGAGTACTAAGAATTCTCTGGGGAAGACAAGAGCCCAAAAGCTCAAAGTCTGAGTCCTTTTCAAGGATATTGACTAACTTGCTGTTGAAGGTTATCTGTTCTGACTTTGAAGTCTAAATGTTATGGTTTGCTTTGTCTGGGCTTCTCTGAAAACCACCACTAGTGAGTGTTGATGCTGTTCAGCAGGCAGTTTGATCTAAGTAAGAGACACAGAAAGTAACACAAAGGGCAGAAAAACCTTCCACCCTGTGTATAACGAGGCTTTGACACTGCATGATTGACTGACATTTCCATTTCCACTGTCACGCTCCATCCTAAGAGACAGCAAAACTGTCTTCTTTGACAACACAGAGCGTTAGAAGCAGGGAGCCTGGCTTCTTTGGGACTTGAGGTAAATACCACATGACCTCTGACCTTTGGCCAACTCTATTTCACGACTTCAAAATAAAAAGGGAGAATAGCACTTCTTCACTTACCATGAGTTCAAATCACTTGGATTAGGGAGCCAAAGTATATCTTTTTCAGATGCAAGAATATGAATATTATTTTTAGTATTCTTAGTGTTTAGCAAAGAGCATACATTTAATAAATATTTATGTAATAAATATTTATTAGACAAATGGCATTTGAAACTTAAGTAAGTTTAGGTCTGGCTCTGTAAATTCTAATTTCCTCTAGCTCACATAGCAGTGAGGCTCAGAATTCATCTGTAACATTGAAACTCCTTCCTCCACACCAGGGCTTGAGTTGGGGCCAAGATGAGTAGGAGGCAGGAAGTATTTCCCAACTGTAGGAATTATTGTTTGCCTACTGGCAAAGACAGCAATGGTGGTGGGGAGACATCTATGGTCAAATAAATCATATCATGAAAAAATCCTTCGTCTAAATGAAAAGCTTTTCTACCTACCTATCATCTATCTATCTATCTATCTATCTATCTATCTATCTATCTATCTATC